AACCTACCTAATAATGAAAAATCCAGCAAAAGGGGCAACACCAGGTAACTACAGGCCAATTACCTGCTTACCAACAACTTTCAAATTACTAACTGGTGTAGTAGCTGATGCAGTGCAACAGCATCTAGTTGAAAACAATCTCTTTCCACCTGAGCAGAAAGGAAACCGCCCCAATAGCAGAGGAACAAAAGATCAACTCCTAATAGACAAAATGATCTTGGAAAACTGCAAGAGAAGGAAGACCAACCTGAATGTGGCATGGATTGACTACAAAAAGGCATTTGACTCTCTGCCACATGATTGGATAATCAAGTGCCTAGAAATAACAGGAGTCAGTAGAAACATCAGAAAATTTGTGCAAAGATCGATGGCACAATGGAAGACACAGTTGCAGATCAATGGTGAGAGGCTGGGAGAGGTTAATATCAAGAGAGGAATATTTCAAGGAGATTCATTATCACCATTACTATTTGTTATTGCACTGTTTCCTCTGTCAACAATACTGAATAACTCAGGACATGGCTATCAAACATCAAAAACATCTGCCAGACTATCCCACCTCCTTTACATGGATGATCTGAAGCTGTATGGAAAAACATCATCTGAAATAGAATCGCTGCTCAACACTGTCCGTATATATAGCCAAGATATTGTAATGGAGTTTGGCTTGGACAAATGTGCCACACTTACTATCAAACAAGGAAAAATAGTGAAAACTGAAGGAATCAAGATGCCCCACGAAAATAACATTAAGAGTCTGGATGAGGAAGATTACTACAAATACTTGGGTATCCTTCAAGCTGACAACATCAAGCACACTGAAGTCAAGAAAAAGATTAGAGGTGAATACATCAAGAGAGTGAAGAAGATCTTAAAGTCCAAACTCAATGGAGGAAATACCATAAAGGCAATCAACACCTGGGCAATCCCAGTCATTAGGTACACAGCTGGAATAGTGGACTGGACTCAAGCAGAACTAAAAGCAATGGATAGGCAGACCAGAAAAATAATGACAATGAATCATGCCCTTCATCCACGCAGTGACATTGATAGACTTTATCTACCAAGGCAAATAGGTGGGCGTGGAATGCTACAAGTACATCAGATGGTTGAAGAAGAAAAAATGGCTTTGGAAGAATATCTGAAGAACAATGATGAAGATGCACTGAAATTAGTATATCAGGAAGGCTTACTAACTACTGGAGAGACCAAACTGGCCTACAAGAAAGACCAAATGAAGAACAGAATAGAGGCATGGGAAGACAAAGCACTACATGGCCAATACATGAAAAAAATAGCTGGGAAAGCAGATAATAATAAAACCTGGCAATGGCTAAGAGCAGGAAAATTGAAGAAAGAGACCGAGGGACTAATTCTGGCTGCACAAGACCAAGCCTTAAGGACAAATGCATACAAAGTCAAAATTGAGAAGACAGCAACAGACAGTAAGTGCCGCCTATGCAAAGAAGCTGAAGAAACAGTGGACCACTTGGTAAGCTGTTGCAAGAAGATGCACAGACTGATTACAAGCAGCGGCATGACAAAGTAGCAACAATGGTGCATTGGAAGATCTGCAAAAAATATCATTTGCCTGTAAGCAAAAACTGGTGGGATCATAAAATAGAGAAAGTCATAGAAAATGATAAAATTAAACTGCTCTGGGACTTCAGAATTCAAACAGACAAGCACCTGCAACATAACACCCCAGACTTAACAATTGTCGATAAGAAAGACAAAAGTCTGGATAGTGGATGTGGCAGTGCCTGGAGACAGCAGAATAGAAGAGAAAGAACTGGAGAGATAACAAAATACAAAGACCTACAAATAGAAATAGAAAGACTGTGGCAAAAGCAAGCAAGGGTAGTACCAATAGTCATAGGCTCCTTGGGTGCAATCCCAAAACAACTGGAGCACCACTTGAACACCATTGGCATTGACAAATTCGCTATTAGTCAATTGCAAAAGGCAGCCTTATTAGGAACTGCTTCCATCCTGCGACGATATCTGTAATACCATCAAACATCCACATCTGCCTATCCCAGGTCCTGGGTAAGGACTCGATAGGTAGACAAAATGCCAAATCCAGTCTGAACATCTGGCTGACTGTGCGATGATCGATAATAATAATAATAATAAAGTTGGAAGGGACCTTGGAGGTCATCTAGTCCAACCCCCTGCTCAGGCAGGAAACCCTATACCATTTCAGACAAATGGCTGTCCAGTCTCTTCTTAAAAACTTCCAGTGTTGGAGCATTCACCGCTTCTGGAGGTAGATATTCTTTGAGCATTTTGGAAGAGAGGCAAGACAGCGATATAATGCATACAATCTCCAGCCCATGGTTTTTTTTTCCTTCTTCAGAAATGTCTGAGCTTTGGAGATGCTATAAGTGTACAATGGAATTAGAATAGAATAGAGCTAGAAGGGATCTTGGAGGTCTTCTAGTCCAGCTCCCTGCTCAAGCAGGAGAACCTATATCATTTCAGACAAGTGACTGTCCAGTCTCTTCTTAAAAACCTCCAGTGATGAAGCACCCACGATTTCTGGACGCAAACTGTTCCACTGGTTAATTGTCCTCCTTGATTCCAGGTTGCTTCTCTCGATTTAGTTTCCAACCATTGTTTCTCATCCTGCCCTCTGGTCATGAAAACTAGGAATCATATTTGTACAGGTAGTCTTCTACTTAAGACCACAACTGGGATCAGAATTTCCATTACCAAGCAACATATTTTATTTTTTGTGACCTTTTTCACAACAATTACTAAGTGAATCATTGCAATCTTTAAAAGAATTATGCAGTCGTTAAGTGAATGTCACTTCCCCCATTGACTTTGCTTGTTGAAAGCTAGCTGAGAAAGTCACAAATGGTGCTTACATGACCCTGGGATGCTGCAACAGTCATAAATACATGCTGATTGCCAAGCACCCACGTTTTGATCACCTGACCATGGAGGTAATGTGACAGTGGTCAGTGCCATTGTAACTTTGAATGGTTGCTAAATCATTGGTTGTAAATCGAGCACTGATTGCATAAAGTTGTACATAATTAGGACTAGGTTTCCAGGCACACTGTGTGATTTATTCTTTTCAACCATATAGCTCTTCCATCACTCACATATATGCAGGACACTGCACCAAGTTCATACCACCTGAACTGTTCAGTTATAAAGAAGCTCTCCTACTTTTATAGTAGCCAGTGACATTTACTAGTCACCCAGTGAAATGAAGGGCGCTTGAGTTGAAATGGTATCCCATTTCTTTTGAATCTGAAACATGGTCTCAGTTGTTTATTAAAACTGTAGACAACATGCCTCCAAAGAGTTAAAGCCTTGCAGATGTCTATGAATCAACTTCTCAAGGGAAGCCACATTGACTATTACTGCCAAAAGAACCACCAGTGCATCGGCAACAGTCTGATACAAAACAGTCCAGTGCACAATTTTAACATACAACTCCTAATATTTTCATGCATAGCTTCTTCTTTTTAATTAAAAATGTGTACTGAATAGGTATATGATGAAGTAAATGCTTAAACGTGAAAGAACTGCTTCAACACAAACATAACAACCAAATTGAGGCCCTTCTGAAAATCAGAGATGGAAACCTGATCCAAGTATTTCTTTGACAAAAATTCCCATGCACTATTTTCTACATACCCAAACTAAGCAATCTGCTCTGCACAGTAGAAATTCTGATAAATTGCATATGAATGTTATATTCCTAAGGCTCCAGTTTCAGATTTATCTAGATTTATTTTCCATATCAAAGGCCGTGGTTTTACTGACTTCCTAGAGCTATAAAAAGTTTCATGAATGAAGGAATCCTCTGGGGAAAACACAGGATCAACATTGACCTGGAGGAATATTTTTACTTGAATGGTATTTCCATGTGACCCACATGCAGAGTGACAGCATATTTTAAAGAGACAGCTAACAAGAGCATGATGGCCAGAATTGCTTAATATAATCAAACTACAGAATTGTCTGGTGGGAGATAATGAGAAACACAGATTCACTAAGTGTAAACAATATGGATTTTCCTACTTGCAGGACTGGTTTTATTCAAGTGGGATGAACGCTGCAGTTCTGTTCCTGAGAGTATTTTGCATCAATTTGGACTTTTCAGTACATTTATACTCCTAAGCAATCAACCTACTGAAGCCACGAGATTTACTTCTGGGTAATCATGTGTATATATATATATATATATATTGCATTACTGGCCTCTTATCTCAAACAGTTGTGCCAGCACAAGCCCGTGTATGTTGATTCTAAATGACGCCTGTTGGCTTGACAGCAATCCTATGTACATTTTACTTAAAGTATGAACGTCTATTTCTTTGTATAAAAAGCAAATATTGCACCGTTGCACATCACCCATCATCACAGGTCTCACTTCTGAGTGAAGTTACCTAGGATTAAGCTGCACCTCTCCAAGGTGCCACAAGATTTGAAACTAAACCCCCATTGCAAATGCAAATTGTACAGCTGCACTGAAGTTTGCTTGCTCTTTTTGCACTGACGGGGCTCCTCTTCAGGAACGAGAAGGAAGTGGAAAGTTAGGAATCATGGATCAGTCAATTCCCGATTTCTAAATCAAGTTTCCTATCAAGCCATTGCCTCCAACCGAATTCCCACGAGACACCACTCACCCGAGTCCCGTTTGAGGAAGAATTCTGTGACATTCAGGACTTGCTACTCTACCAGCACAGCTGAGCCCCTGAAAATACCTATTGAATGCCAGCGCAGATCCTATTTTCCGCTCGCTGAACCGCTATCTAGAAATGTGCCTTGCAAGGCTTTCGGGTATGGAACGCAGGGATCTGGAAAGGCTCAACTCTCTGCAAGGTATAAGTAGTAAACAAACAGAACACTAAAGCAGCCGCTGGCTTGCTTTTCTGTGGCAAGTCTCAAAACAGTCTCGGATGAAATGCCAAGGGGAGAAGCGGGGATGAGGAGAGAAAAATGGGGGGGAACCCCCAAAGCAATCGCAAAATACTTACGCCCAAACGTCTGCTCCTAATCTTGACATACCCTTGCTTTACGATATCATTAAAATTAGAAGCCATCCCGGGTTACGGCGGACGAAGGTGGGCTGGAGCAAAGTTGCAAACGCAACCCAGTTTGTAGCTGTGGGTGCTGGTTTGGCTTCTCGCTTGGCTGCCGTTTGAACTCCCCCCACCCCACCCCTGATCGATCCGTCTTTGGGATAAATCCTCCAATCCTGATCCAGAAGCTCGGCAACCCGTACGACTGTTTTCCTGCTCTCTGCCTCTCTCTCTCTCTCTCTCTCTCTCTCTCTCTCTCTCTCTCTCTTTCTTGCTCTCCCTCTCTCAGAGAGAGAGAGAGAGAGAAGGGTAGCTTGAACGCCGCCGAGGTCGCGGCGGAATGAGAGGAGGAATCAGCCCAAATTCTCTTCCTCCTCCCGCCTCCCCAGTTCTTTCTTTCTTTCTTTCTTGACTTCCCTAGTAGGGATGCAGGAGCAACTTTCTATCCTTGTTCCACTCACTTTTGATAGGACAGAAGTAGCATCGGCAACTAGAGAGGAGGAGGAAGTGACAATCCTATAGAATAAAAGGAAAAGAGGTGGGGATCTAATTTCAAGATCACTAAGCTTCCACTCCAGGAACTTTGCCCAATGCCAAGAAGGGACTGCCAGGATGATAAAAATAAGTCTTGACCAAGTTTCCTTAAGCTGCTGTCCTTCAGTTGTGGCGAGCAATAACTTCCATGAGAATTGTAGTTCAACACATCTAGATGAATAAATAAATGTTTTCCCCCCCCCAGAAGATATGGAGTGCATTTCCTGCAGTCTGTGAGAGCAGGCAGCTATAATAAATGTAAATTAACAATAAAATAATAATTTCCTCCATTATGAGCTGCTCAGGGATTGTTAATGTTGAATTTTTTCCTGAAAAGTATTTAGTGGACTTGGAAGAAGCAAGATGGAAACAGCATCAATGCATTTGAAGTTTGGCATAACCAAAATGAAAATATCAGGGATTGCCAAAGACATAAACAAATGGATCATTGAACAAATCAACCCAGAATTCACACTCAAGGCACAAATGGTTAAGCTCAAATGATCTTACTTTGGACTCATTTTCTGAAAAAATTAGTTCTCTGGAGAAGGTTCTAGTGCTGTGGCTGGTGAATGGAATGAAAAGAGGATGACCATCGCCAAGAAAAATGGATAACCAGTTACAGTGGTGATGGATCCACCATTGAAAGATCTGAAAGGCCAGGTTAAGACCAGATTGTCATGGAGAAAAATCTACCTATGTGGTCAGTAAGAATTGATACTGACTTGATGGAACATAATCAAGTATGTCTTTAGTAAGATATACAAATGTTGGAAATATTGCCCTTTATATTGTAGGATATATTAGATTCTAAATCTAGATAAATTAAACAATATAAGGCCCATTTTGTTAAGGTCATCCTAACTGGGTAATCCTTTCTCCTTTAAGATATGATATTTTCTCAAGAGGACATATATAATGGTAATATATCAATAATACCTGAAAAACTATTTGCAAAGGAACATGATTTTCTAAGAAGTTGGAGGGAAGAAAATATGAACATCAGTGACAAGAGATGTTGGGTTCCTAGTGTTTTCACAACCATCCTACTCTCACCATCATTTATTTAAAAAATAATGTGTTCTAACATGTGTTCTGTATCCAAGGAGGATTGTAAGTACTTATATTGTCAATGCAATGAAGATTCTGCTTCACACACCTTGGGTTCAAAGAAGTGCTGATTGCAAATTCTGGAGCTGTAATCTAACACCACCTCAGGAAACTTAATTCTATTGGAACTTTATGTCTCAAATCTTAACCACATTTTTTCCAGCCCAACACTTTGCAACTTCTAATACCAAATAATATAACAAAATTAAACATGAGAATTTTCTACATTCAACACTTGTGCTGTAAATGATACTATAACAGCTGCTATTTAGCATTAACTCATTGTTAATTCTTATGGATTATATATAGATATTCTACAGGCTGAGTTGTCCCTTTAAGTTTTTGCTGGATGCTTCTTCACTTTTCATTCATCTTTCCCAGCATTATGGACTTCTCCAGGCAGCTGGGTCTACACATGTATCCAAAATATTATAGTTTGAGACTGTTCATTTGTGCTTCAAGTGACAACTCCAGATTGACTTGATTTATGATAAGTTTGTTTGTTATCTGGTATTCTCAGGATTCACCTCCATCTCTGAGGTTCAAGGCATCGGTATGCTTTCTATTCCACTTCTTTAAAGTCCAACTTTTACATTTGTGGAGTAACACAAAGAAAACTATTGACTGCACAATTCTAATCTTTGTACAATACATATAAACACATCACAGCATCTGAATATCTTCTCCAAGACCTTCACTGCCACCATATCAAGTATTAGTCTGCAGTGAATTTCTTGACTGCTTGTTCTTTTATTATTGATATGTGATCTTCAAAGGCAAAAGCAATCCATCATTTCAATGTCTTCATTGTCAATTCTAAGACTGGTTGCTGAGCCCATTGTGATTAATTTGATCATCCTTATATTTAACTGTAGCCCCAATTTTCACTGTACTCCATGATTTTCATTATTAGAGCTTGCAATTGATTTGCATTTTGACTATCACAATCCCGATAAAGATTATTGATGCTTTTTTCTCCAAATATAAAACTACACACATCTTCCATTCGAGCTTCTCTCAATATATATTCTGCATATAGATTGAATAAATAAGAGAATATACAGCCTTACTTCATTCTTTTGCCAATCGAGCACCAATCTACTTCACCCTTTTCTGCTCCTATGTACAGATTTTTTATGAGTACAATAAGATGTTCTGAGATTCCTACTTTACTAAGGATATTCCACAGCTTGACATGGTTAACACAATTGAAATCCTTCCCATAGTGAGTGAAGCATATATGAATGTCTTTGGCTTTCTCAATTACTCAGTGTACATCAAGAAAAATGTCTCTTGTTCCTCAGTTTTATTCAGCTTGAACATTCCCTTTTCCATGCAGAACTCTAATCTGTGTTAGATCATCTTTAATATTATTTCACAAGCATGCAAAATTAAGGATATTGTACAATACTCTGCACACTCTGTTAAGTCTTTTTTCTTTGGTATTGGTATGTACACTTGCTTCTTCCAGTTTGTTGGCCATTCTTCAGCTTTGCTGGCACAATTTAGTTAGCACCTTTACAGATTCCTACTGTACGGTATTTTGGTATATTCTTTTCATCTTTATTAATGTATTACCACTTCTAGTTTCTTCTCTTTTTTTGTTTGTTGTATTTTTTTTCTTCTGGTCTCTTTTCACATTGACCCTTAATAACATCTTTGATTCCATTCCATGTTGTTCTGGTTCTCTATCAATGAGGCACAGGACTTCCCAGAGATTCTTGAAGGTCCTCCTTGAAAAATGGTAAGATTATACTCACTCTCTTATCATGGAAACTGGTTGATTTCATTCTTCCACTTCATCTTGGTGTAGAACTTCATATTTGATCTATTCCATGCACAACCCCTGATTACATCTTCATTGTTATAACTGAGATCTTCCAGCTCTTTGTACCAATAATATAGGCAATTTGGTTTCTGTACGCTCCATCCAGTGATGTCCATATGCTATTGCATTGCCTACACATTATGTTAGCATCTTCCCACCTTTTCTTCCTTGTGGGAGAAACATTGTCTTGTTATATTTGTTCTGGATAAGCTTAAATGGAGACAAATGTTGCTACTCTGGTAATCTTCAAGCATTTTCCACCGTATTATCATTAGACAATCTCAACTCTGTGTTAGCATTTATAATTGTGGGAGAACAAAAGGTCAGAGTGAAGTGTTAGTGGCTCTGTTATTAATAATTTACATGGATAGTAATTATAATTACATTGTTCTGTAGAGTGGGAACCATGTTTTAGTCTGTGGTGCAGCTTCACAAAGATTTATTTTGGCAAGAGAAGGAGAAGCAGTAAATGATTCCAACAAAATGATCAACAGCTCATTCTAGAGGTCTTCAAATTTTTGCCCTTCTGAACTTCTCTTCCTGAAGATGAGAATATGAAAGATTCCACTATTTTTAACTATTTGAACAGTAATATCAACCTTTAATGGTCTTTTTTGAAAATAGGGAATCAACAACAACAAGAGCATTAACCCTATTCAGCTCTTATACTAGTTTTAAAAGATATGACTGTTCTGCACATATGGACACCCTTGTACACACGTACAGGTTATAAACATTGGAAAAGCTAACATATAAATAAGCTGAGTTTGTATATATTCAGCAATATATTTATATATATATAATGATTGTTTTAAAATAAATTTATACAGTTATGGAGTTGAGTTTCAGGTTTTGAGTTCTGGATTCTACATGATGTCTTTGTAAGCATTTTTACAAACTTATTTATGTAAAGATATTTAGAGATAACCTTGGGAAACATACAAAAGAGCCTTTAAGGAAGGACTTGCAAAAAAGATTACACAATCCAGAATTGAAGCAAGCATGAGAAAGACTCTCAGAATAATCCTGCCTTTGTTTAATATAAAATAGAACATAGAGAAGCCTGGATAGGCGTTCAAGATTGACTTTTCTGGAGAACTTGTGGTATGTTTCTTCACCAAGAATATCTCAAAGGGCTGGTATCCTCAAAGCTTGTAGCTGAAAAATTCTAGAACTTATATTTCATCATGATTTCATTTGGGAAAAATAAAGTAGAATAAAATGAATTACTTTAAATCATAATTCCCTAACATTTATTATTGCCTCAAAGAATTCTGGAATGATAGCAAAGATAAAAGATAAGTATGCCAGGTAGAAGGTTTGACTCCTAGACTCTCTTTTAAAAATGCTGAGATGTGGAGAAGGTGATACTAATCAGATTAGCCCAGAAATTGCCAACTTTTTCAGGCTAGTGAATTCATGTTACATTTGGAGAACATGTTATGAACTTTCACACAAAAATCATTGCTGTGGAGGGAGCTTAGAAGATGTTTCCTAACATCCAGAGTTATTTGTGTCCCTTGGGAGAAGAATTGTCACATATCCAAACCAAAAGCTGTACTGCAACTACCCATTATTTTTATTAGGAAAAAAATTTGGGGACTTTTTTGTGCCCTGAAGACATTTTTGGATACCAAGAGGAAAGTACTTTACTGATACTTTACTTTGCTTCTTTTTAATTAAAAACACTGAAAACTTTTTTGTAAGGCAGAAGGACACCAAGAAATTCCGAAGACACTATGGACAATGCAGCTAATAGTTATGGTGTGATATATAAAAGATCAGCAGCAAGATGCCTCTGAGTATTTATGGTGGGAAGACAAGAAGAGATGGATGGCCTCCATGTCCTACCTGTATAGTCTGCAGTGTCATGTAACCTACTGTGAAGATATGGAATATTAGATGAGCCTTTGATCTGTTCTGGGTCTCTGTGTAAAGGACTTCTATAGAAAGACT